ATTCTGTTTTAGATACTAAAGATGAAATCTGACAGAATTCCGAAACGTTTATCCATGTCCCCCTTTTTGTCAATAAACAATGTTGTATATCATATATATCTCGTAATCTTGTTTATAATCAAACTTCGTTTTCCTTCGAACACATCGATTGCTAATCATATTGTATTCCAGAGACTTTATCTACCTTACAAACCCATACACACCCTGGTCCATTCAATCACATGAACCTAATAAGTGGCTTTATAAAACTGAACTGATAAACAACAAACATTACATTCAAGAGTTTGAGAAACTATCTGTTATGTTTTATTTGAAACAAGCAATGATTCTAATGATTTTACTTTACAGAAAAAAAAACGACATAATTATATTTTAGTACCTTAAATTTTAAAGAATCTACTATTTATTTACATAAGAAGATAAAACAGTGCGTTGTTTATTCAGATCAACAAAATTATTTTTAATTTGATTAAGCTATGAAATACTGCGTTGTGTGAAGTTATATTACTACCAATAAAATAATTTCATTAAATACTAGCTTTTTAAAGAAGCTATTTAAACGTTATATATATATATACATACAAGAGTATATAATACGATAACTGTAGAAATAAATACATAATCACAATGAAAATCAGACTTTTGGATACCAGATAAATATTGGTATGAGCTTTCTTAACTTAGCAATCGGTACATGAAACATCAAATTTGCAAAGTTGGGGATTCTCTTCTATAAATTCCGGAATTTAAGGAGCCCAATTAATATACGGGATCTCGGGATTACAACTCCTATCTTTGATTTACCACAAGTAGCTACTATTCCATGTAATTCAGTTCTTCTTTTAATCAGATTTCAGAGTTATACAACTGTTTTAATTTAGTTGGCGAATCGCAAGTTACAATTATTTGCCACAGTATATAACCTCTAATATTATTTATATCTTTACTGTGATTACTGCAATCCGTATGCTTCTCACATTTTTACACTAATGATAGAAAGTGCTTATTCAAATAATACGGTCATAAGTTTTGGAAATATTTGAACCAGTATCATGTCATACATAGAAAGAGAGAGAGAGATCATTCTTTTTCATTTCGGTGTACTTGAAAAATATAAAACTTTACACAATAAGACATGTAGGTGCGGCTACTGATGTTGCTGCTCAAAAAGAAAAAAAAATTCAATCTTTGCCATGGTTAGAAACTTATAGAAACTTAAATGTTATTGTTATATGTCCCCAGTGAACTTACAACGCTAGAAACTGGGTTTCGATACCCGTGGTTGACAGAGCACGGATAGCTCTTTGTGTAGCAAATTCGTATTGTTATATAGTGACACTGAAACCCGGATTTTAGAGTTGTGTGTCCATAAATTTGCCCCACCACTAGTGGCTCGGCGGCAAGTCTGCAGGATTACGACGCTAAAAACTGGATTTCGATACCTGTAGTGGGTAGAACACAGATAGTACATTGTGTAGCTTTGTGATTAACTACAAGAACAACTAAGCCAGAACTCGAACATATTGCCGACCCATCGGTGTACTATGTATTATTTGTTTCGTTTTCAGTTTACTTACTGATTAACTATATTTTATTACACGTTTTTATAGAAAAACAAATATTATCTACTGTAAAAGCTGTAACTTGTAAAAAAAAAGCCCTATTTAGTTTTTATCCTACATTTAGGCTGTTAATCTGCTGCTGTCTTCAAAGAAGTCGTGAGAAAGACATTTTCTGTAAATAATTAACTAAACAAGTTTGAAATTCACTATTCATTTTTTTTATCTCCCAGTTCTAACCCTATTAATTTTTATGAACTTTTCGTAGTAAATAGATTTCATTTACAGAGAGATACTGATTCTAAATGTTAATTAATTATTATTTTTTACACTACAGCAGACACCATAGTTTCATTTCACCACCATGATTCTAACAATAACCAGAATTATTATAACAACATAAATGTAAGTATTCGCAACATTTATTCAGTTGTTTAATTAACCAGTGCAACAATTAATTTTCAAAGTTTATAGGGCCCGGCATGGCTAGGTGGTTAGGGCGCTTGACTCGCAATCTGAGGGTCGCAGGTTTGAATCCATGTCCACCAAAGATGCTCGCCCTTTCAGCCGTGGGGCCTTATAATATAATATTGTGACGTTCAATTCTACTATTCGTTGGTAAAAAAAAAAGTAGCCCAAGAGTTGGCGGTGGGTGGTGATGACTAGCTGCCTTCCCTCTAGTCTTTCACTGCTAAATTAAGGACGGCTAGCGCAGATAGCCCTCGTGTAGTTTTGCGTGAAATTCGTTCGTTTTTTTAATTATGCACAAAGCTACGCAAGGGCTATCTTTGCTCTGCCCACCACGGGTTTTGAAACCCGCTTTCTAGCGTTGTAAGTCCACACACCTACCGCTGTGCCACTGGGGGGCGTTCTTCTATGAAGAAGCAGAATGAATTTATCAATCAAATCAGCTGTCTAAAGCTAAACAAACTAATATTTGTTTAATGACTTGTCCTGAATGGATATAATGAGCTCACTTTGAAAAATAAAACAAAATGGAAAACAACTAACAATAATTATTTCATCTTTTTTATCGTATACACTTATTTATATATAAAAAGAATATAAACTATTTTCATACGCTACAAGTGTTCTTTTCTCTATAATCAAAACTTGTCGCGATAATCTCAGTTTAAAGCAAAATTAAAAATCTACTTTCTTATCCTCAGCTGACAAATTAATATAATCAATGAACTCAGCCAAGTATAAATAGAAAAAAGCAGGTATATAATTCACATGTTTAAGAGAAAAAAAGAACAAGGATGAAAGTTTACGTTGGCTAAATTAGGCTTCTCAAATGGCAGAAAATTCAAGAAATCCATTAATAGAGTTAGAATTCCCACAAAGCTACATGTAATACATACATATACATATATGCAATCGCAAACAAAACACGCTATTACCTGACTCAGAAAGATGATTTCGACTCCCATCCCCGAATCTCCGCATTGTCTCGACAGTAAGCTTGAAGAACATTAAAATCCAGTGTTTAATCTCTGCGATTAGCACAGCGCAATTATCCCATTGCGCAACTTTGTGCTTGACAACAAACATACAAAGATTTCGGTTGAAATCACTCTCCACAAGGCGAAAAAACATCAAAATTAATGTATAGGATTGTGAATTAAATACATATTATTGTAAGTTTACTGCAGTCCTGTGGCTCAATGGTAAACTGAACGGCTGGTTGGTTGTTTTAAATCAAAGCCACATTGGGCTATCTGCTGTGTACACTGCGGGGAATCGAACCCAAAGATTTTAGCGGTGTAAATCCGTAAACTTACCGCTGTCCCACCAGGGGACCTCAGCGATAAATCTCAAGGTTCATAACGCTAAGTATCAGGGTTTCAATACCCGCAGTGGGCACAACACAGATAGCCCATTATTGTAACTTTTTGCTTGCACTTAACAACAAACAAACAGCAATTTTATTTTAGATAAAAGAACTGACGAATACAGAAACGAAAATTTAAACACTCACAATTTTATAATTTTGAATATTAATAAATAAAATCACTT